TCACTAAGTGTATGTGTGTGTTGAAGGAAAAGGGGGGGGGGTGACTTGATCAGACCCATGCTTTAGGAAAATCAACTTAATGGCTAAATGGAGGATAGAGTGGAGAAAGACTTGAGACAGGCAGACCCATCCATAGGCTATTGCAATAGTCCAGGTGTGAGGTACCGAAGGCCTGTACCAGAGAAATGGCAGTGTAAGAGAAGAGGGTGCCTTTGAGAGATGTTGCAAAGGTGAAATTGGCAGGTTTTGGCAATGGTGAGAGTGAAGAATTCAGAGTGACACCTACGTTGTAAACCTGAGGGACTGGGAGGATGACATTACCCTTTACAATAACAGGGAAGGTAGGAGATTGGAAAGGTTTAGGGGGAAAGATAATGAGTACTGTTTTGGCTGTGTTGTGTTCAAGATGTCTATTGGACATCCAGTTTGAGATTTCTGAAAGGCGATTGGAGGTCAGCAGAGAGTTTGGGGCAGGATAGGTAGATTTGAGAATTGGTCATCAGCATAATAATTAAATCCATGGGAGCTGATGATCTCATCAAGTGAAATAGTATAAACTCAGTCTATAACAATAAACCCCTTAATAAAAGGATTTGTTCTGCAAAGTTTGGATTCATTCACAGGGGTGTACCTGAGGACCTTGAGGGCCTCATGTGGCCTTGAAGCTGCAGGTTCCCCACCCCTGGATAGAGGGAGGAGAGAAGAAGACTCAACACAGAATGCTTAGATCCAGCAAAGGAGAGAGAGAAATGGTCAGGTAGGTAGGAGGAGAACCAGGAGAGAGGGGAGCCCTGAAAACCTAGAGAAAAGAGAGTAGCAAGAAGGAGAGAGGGATGGACAAGGACAAGGCTGCAGAGAGGTCAAGGAGAGTGAGTATTGAGAAAAGGCCATTGGATTTGATCACCGGTAACTCTGGAAAGAGTGGTTTTGGTGGAATGATAAGATCAGAAGTTGGGTTGTAAGGGCTTAAGAAGAGAGATAAAGAGGAAAGAAAATGGTGGTGCCTATCATAGACATCCTTTTCAAGGTGTTTGGACACAAAGGACAGAAGATGTATAAGACTATAGTTAACAGGAATAGAAAGATCAAGTGAGGATTTCGTCAGGAGACATGACCATGTTTGTAGGTAGAAAGAAATGAGCCAGTAGTCAGGGAGAGATTGAAAATAAGTGGTAAAGTGGGGGTGACAGAGGGGGGCAATCTGTAGAAGGCGATGCAATGGAATGGGATCACTTGAGCAGATAGAGGGGTTAGCCTTGATAAGGAGAAAGGCCACTCTGAAACAGAGGTTAAAGAGGAGACTGTGGCAGAAGGTATATGAATGATGCAAAATAAAGAGGGGAGAAGAGGAAGCTTACGGTAAATGGCTTCATTTTTTTTCCTTCTGTAAAATATGAGGTGAGATTCTCAGCTGAGAGAGTAGGGTGGGGGGACATGGGGAGGCTTGAGGAGGGAAAAAAGGTTTGGAAGAGCCCCTGAGGAGAGTGGGATGGTGAATTGATAAGGGAGATGTAGGATTGCCCAGCAGCAGTGAGGACCCAGCTGAGTTTATGTAACATAGATTTATAGTGGACCCAATCAGAAAGGTTATACAGCAGCACATGTGTAAGAGTGAAGGCTGAGAACTGTGGGAATGATCCAAGGTTGAGACTTAGCAGGGTGCAATCAGTGAAATGTTAAGGGAGCTGGAAATTCAAGTGAAAAGGACAGTGTGGAATTGAATTGGTTTAACAAGGGGTCAAGGTGGGGAAAAGATGGGAGAGTGACTAGTGCAGGGAAGATGTCCTAGGAGAGACTTGAGGGGCCATGGGATGGGAGGTCATGGTGTGGACAAAGAGTGGGGTCTTATAAGGGAAGCTAGAGGGAAAGGTGAGAAGCAAATGGTCAGATAAGGGAATTTCAGAATTCTTGAACATGGAGGTGGTAGATTTGTGGCTGATGGCAAAATCAAGGGTAAGACTTATCTTTTTGTATGGCTGAGGTAGGGTGGAGGATTAGGTCATGGGAAATTAATAGGTTGAGTAATTGAATGGTTAGGGTGTTTGAGGGGGAATCTATGTATGTTGAAGTCCCCTAGTGTGAGGGCAGGAGTTTGGGAGGGAAGAAAAATTGTGAGCCAGGTATCGAACTCATTGAGAGGGAAGGGGAGTGACCAGGAGATCTGTAGACAACAGTTACCAGGATTTTGATTGGGTAGTAGATATGAATGGCATAACAATTAGGCAGGGAGACTATTTGTCCTGGCCTTGTAGAGAATTGCTTGGATTATGTCAGCAAGAATATTTCCCCCTTAACTGTAACTGCCAATAGACACATAGCCAGGGAGCACTGAAGATATGACAAGTGGCCAGGAAAGATTAGAGAGGTCAAAAAGAAAGAATAATGATCTCTAATTTTCTACCTCTGACTGAAGAGGTCTAGGACTTTTGGGGTGCTGCAACCACAAAATCGCGGTACCAGGCCCTGCCTGAATGAATTCACCTCAAATCTTCTTCAAGCCAGAGGAAAAGTTTATTAGTGATAAATCTCATAGGCCAGGTGACACCCGTAAGGACGAGTGAGCATGAGAAAGACTCAGCCTTTTGGGCTTGAGAGATTCTCAGGCCTAGTAACGCCCATGGAGGGGGACTAGCGGGCATGAGAAGTTCTCAGCCTTTTGAGCTTGAGATTCTCAGCGTCTGAATGGGGGCCAGGGTGGAATTTTTATACACTGAAGTAACTTTGGGTGGCCAGAGAAGAGGGCTGGGAAATGAGTCTAGGTGAGAATTCCAATTGGAAAGTCTGAGAGATTGAACAGACAATGGGAATAGATAATGAGAGGAACTGGAAGGAAGAAGTTTGAAAGGCCTAAGATCAAAGGGTAGAGCTAGGGCTTTCAAAGGGATATAAGGGGAGTCGACAAGGAACCTGAAAGTTTAAGGGTTTTCTGGGTCCTGAAGACAAACAGGAGCCAGATTCTTTTTAGGGCAAGGGGCAAAGGTGCATCTGAATAAGATTAAAAGGTAAGGCTAAGGCTTTCAAAGGGAGATGAGGAGCTGGGGTCTGTAGACAAGAGGGAGTCAGATTCCCTTTGGGGCAAGGGGCAAAGATCTTGGCTTGGGCCCCACCCCCATCACTGACCTTTGTTCATAATGTGAACTCAGCCCTTGGGTAAGGATGTGGGCTTCATCAAAGGAGACAGAACTGTGTGTTGCATCCCTTTCCAACCAGAAGAGAAGGCATAGCTGAGCAAGAAACCTAGATCAGAGGACACTGCTATCCAGCCCATGCTTCTTTGAAAAGGCCAACAGAGGACCCAGGGCAGAGCCTGGAAAATTCTATTTTCATCTGAGTTCCTGACTAAGCTCACTGGGGAGAAGAACTTGGCTCCCCTATCAATCCAATCCATGATAGGGGAAGGGGACAAGGCAGCAGGATCCCTCTTTAACCTCCTTTTGACAGGGACACAGAAGACAAATGTGGGCCTGAGTCCTCTGGGAGACACAGCTTCCTTTTATACTCTTCAAAAGGGCTGGAGGCTACATTTTCTCTTGGACTAAGGCTCTTTTGTCCTTTATGGGTACCCACACACTGACTACCCACACTATGAAACTACAGTTTCACCTTCCCGTCTATCCCTGTTTGCTCCTACTTGCCCAACCCCCAAGCTGCTTTTGCCTTGAGAAGAGCTTTTTAATTTAAGAAAAAATGTACACTGGCCTTTTTCTTCTCCAGGGTCTTTGTAGCTTTGATGATTCAGACTTCAGTCTCCCATTCTGTTTGCCTTTTTTTTTGGAGGGGAAAGAGAGGGACATTTGAAAGCCTGGATGGGGGACTTTTACATGGGTATAAGGGGAAATATATGAGGCTTCTAGCCCCAAGCCAGGCTTAGAGTGTCCTGATGGCCCCTTATTTTATGTCAAGATATTCCCTTTGCTGGAGCTGGGCTGGGCAGAGGTCAGTGGCCTGCTGCCCCTTGGTGACTCAATTTGTTACCCCCGAGGGAAAAAGGACAGGGGCCTGAGATATCAAAGAACCCAGTTAAAACTAGTTCTGCTGAAGGAGAGAAACACAACAGGCACTAGATTCCTTCCCCAGACTGGCTTGGTAATGTTCAGCCCCTGCAATATTGACTACTAGGTTTGTTTCCCACGCCCACTGGAGGTTGCCCTAGGCCCTGGCTTTGTCCCTGTTGTTGCTTTCCTCCTCTGCCAGTGCGGGACTTGGGTTTTTCTCTACCTTCTCAATCACCACCTGTGGCGCTGTCTCTGCATAATCTAAATCTGTGTAATCGGATTCTCTCAGTTCCTTGTCTCATCTAGTCCCTGCCATTGGAGAAGGGAGAAGAGGGGAGGTCAGGTCCCATCTCCCTCCCGTCTGTCACCCACTTTCTAGCTCTGGAGTCTCACTCAGGCTCTGTGCTTAGTGGACAGACAGACAGACAGACAGACAGAGACACAGCGAGAGAAAGAGAGAGAGAGAGAGAGAGAGAGAGAGACAGACAGAGAGAGACAGAGAGAGACAGAGAGACAGAGAGAAAGAGAGACAGAGAGAGAGAGACAGACAGACAGAGAGGCAGACAGAAAGAGAGAGAGAAAGAGTTCATTTAATACTCATGTCCTTTTTCCCACTGGAAATAAAGTGGATTCAGGGCAAATTTGACTGAACCTGGAACATGACACAGAAATTGTTTCCAGGCTGTGGCACTTTTTTTTTTTTATCAAGATTCCTACTTCCAAATCAGATTATGGGATATAGAGCTAGAAGGAGCCTGAGAGACCATCTATTCCAAACCTTTCATTTTACATGTGGCATTCAGGATCCCATTCCTCCCACGTACAAGTTTGAGACATCTTATAGATATGGGTCATCATTTATAGCTTATTGAGCCCCTATCCAAGTGTTTTTTTTTTTTACCAGCCAAACACACGACATTACATGGTTCAAAGCAAAAGATATTTAATTAAATAACATATCAAGATAAATGACAAGGAAATTTTCCTCATACACTCTCTCACAGATTACCATACTACCAGAAAGAGAGTAGATACGCACACAGAGCACATATGACTAGGAACATATGATAAGGAAAACTCACATCTCTAGTGCTTCAGAACTGTTGATGTTAGGTGAGGTCCTAGGACAAGCTGTTTTCTCCACTGAGCTAGGGTTTTCTGCCCTTTTGTTCTCTTTATCTCAGTGCTTTGTCAGCTGGATGTCTCTGTTTTTCCTGCTGCCGCCAGTCTCTGCTGGGCATCTCATCTGCTGTTGCTGTCACGCTCTGCTACCATCTGCTGCTCTTCTGCTATTTTGCAACTTCTTCCTCTGCAGTAGAGGAAGGGATCTGCTGGGTCTTCAGCTTGGTAGCCCCAGGGATTAGCCTTAGCTCTGTTATGATGCAAACTCGGGCTAGGCAGACCCTCCCAAACAGCTTGAGAAACCTTTAGGTCTTGTCTTCAAGTCTGGTTTTTGAACTTCTGCTCCTAGCACCTCAGTCTAAAGAGGTTCCCAAAGTGGGTGATACGGCTCCATGGGGGGGCACTGGAATGCTTGGGGGGCAGTAGTAGCCTCAAGTGCAATTGGGGGGCACTGACTAAAAATAAGGTGGCTGTGGAAGCATAAGGAAAGAAGAAAAGATAAGAAGATTTTGAAAAACCGTTAGTACATATTTCATCTGTTGTGTAACAGAGCTAAAGTTGCAGTGATTACGTTATTTTCCAAATAAACACACAAAATGCAAGTTACAACTGATCAGTGGTCAAGTCCCCCGATAGGTCCTAATAAACAAGTATTGGCAGGTGAGGGTATGGCACATTGTTGGGAAGTCCAGCAAGCCTCACTAGGAATATGTGTGTGGAATGACTTGTTTACGATATGATATTATATCATGTCACACGATGCAATATTGCATCATCAAAATTTCATTGTAAACCCCCCCAAATTTACAAGAAATTATTAAATTTAAGATGTACCTTTAAAAAAAATTTATTTTTTGAAATGACACAAATTTCAAACAAACAAACAAACATGAAAGGGTTAACGATTTCCAGTGGGGGCACTGAGTAATTTTTTTTAAAGGGGGCAGTAGGCCATATAAATTTGGGAACTTCTGATCTAAATCCTTGTCTTAGGTCTAACGCAAAATTCCCTTTAACTCATTTTTTATCCCCTCATCACCTGCCTGGTTTCCCTTCATGTAGTCCTAAGGAATCCATAGCAAGACTGGAAAAATATCTGATGCTAAAGGGATTCTTCTTAATCCCATCATACCTTTGGTGGCTACATAAATCAATCTGGGTACAAGACTGAAAAGGACTAGTTGAGCTGTTAACCTTTGTTCTACATTCCTGCTTTTCTTTTACATGGAAGCCACAGAGATACGAGTCTTCCTACATATAAAGGAGGAAACTGAAGACTGGTAGTTTGTGACTTGCCCAAGAGCACTGCCAGGATTTGAACCCAGGTCCTCTTATATCAAATCCAGTCCTCTTTTTACTATACCATCAATCAATCAATAATCATTTATTAAGCACCTACTATTTGTCAGGTTAGTAGCTAGGTATGTGGATAGAGTGCCAGGTCTGGGGTCAGGAAGGCTTATCTTCCTGAGTTCAAATCTGGCCTCAGAAACTTACTAACTGTGTGACCCGGGGCAAGTCACTTAACCTTGTTTGCCTCATTTTCCTTATCTGTAAGATGAGCTGGAAAAGGAAATGGTAAACCACTCCAGTATCTTTGCCAAGTATCCAGATGGAGTCACAAAGAGTTGGATATGACTGAAAAATACCTGAACAACAAAAACAACAAAATGTGCCAGGGACTGAGGTTTGAATGGGGTCTTTTTTGGCAATTGGGGTCAAGTGACTTGCCCAGGGTCACAAAGCTAGTAAGTGTCTGAGGTCGGATTTGAACTCAGATCTTCCTGACCCCAAGGTTGGTGCTCTATCCATTATGCCACCTAACTGCCTCAAATGTTCTTTTTTTTTCCTTGTTGATTCTTTGTTACAAAAAGGATCTAGCTCCTTTTGTAACAGCTACAAGGTTCTCCTTTTTTTTTATGCCTCTCCCTAACTACATTTGAACCTTTGTATTACCAGAGATCTGCTTCCTAGTTTCCCCCTCACTTATTGCCTTTCTTTTCTTTTCTTTTTTTTTCTTCTAGGCAATGAGGTTAAGTGACTTGCCCAGGGTCACACAGCTAGTAACTGTTAAGTGTCTGAGGCTGGACTTGAACTCAGGTCCTCCTGATTCCAGGACCAGTGCTCTATCCACTGCACCACCTACCTGCCCCTGTAAAGCCTTTATCTCGGTCTTCGATGGTGTAGTGACAGCCAATGGTACTGAGTGTATTTTGATGTTGACTTGGAAGTCTTCTTTTATATTTACACAGCTCTTGTGTCTGGCAGGATTAGAAGTTGTCATCTCATGATTCAGGTGCCAGGTTATGTACCATCTATTCTATCTAGTCTTCTTCTATTTCTTTCTCATTTTACTCCTTTTCATAGTAACTCTTTCCAAATATTTCTATCCTATGACTTTGACTCCACAGGAGATGTGAGAGGATTCTAAGGGCCCCTTGCAAAAGAGTCTGTGAGGCATACTGCCTCCTTTATCTGTGTGGCTCTCATGAGGGTACCACTGCTGATTAGACTTAATTTTTGGAAAAGGCAGGGCATATCACTCCCATACTGGGCATAAGAGAAAAGGGATATCTGGAAATTTCTGAAGTGGCTGGGTTATTTCTCCAGTCTGAGATAATGATTTTCAGAGGATATTATTACCAGTGCCATCCCTCACCCCTACTTTAATATTCACATGTCTTTTGAAAGTCTAATTTACTTCCCAAGCACTATCGTTTGGGGTGATCACTCAGTGGGTCTTGATGCAAGGTAATATTTCATTTCTACTTGGCTTCTTGGATTGAAAGGCCATCGCCTGGATTATTGTTTCACAAACAATTATTGTTTGTGAAAACGGTACTCCAGTATGACGTGTCAAAAAGAGTCCTGGACCAGGAGTCAGTAGACTTAGGTTTGAACACCCGACTCCGCTGCCCACTAACTAGCTCTTTGACCTTGGGCAGACTTCTCTGAATCTCACTGTTTTCATTTGTAAAATGAAGAAGGCCTACTACCTCATGATGTAATCAAGATCAGATGAGATTAATGGTATTGGTGGGGCAGCTAGTTGGTGAAGTGGATAGTATCTGGCTTCCTGAATTCAAATGTGGCCTTTGATGTTTACTAGCTGTGTGGGAAAGTCACTTAACCTTGTTTGCCTCAGTTTCCTCATCTGTAAAATGAGCTGGAGGAGGAAATGGCAAACCACTCCACTATCTTACCCAAATGGTGTCAGGAAGAGTTAGACACAACTGAAACGACTCAACAGCAATAAATGCTTTATTACTAAGCATGTGCATATTCATGTCCCCAAAGCATGTGGCCACTGATCAGGCAAGTTGTCAGGTTTCTCCTTGAGGGGACAGGAAAAACACTGTTCCTTCTTAAATGGGGATGGATGTATTTTTGTGTTGTTCTTCAGTCATTTCAGCTGTGTCCAACTTTTTGTGACCCCATTTTGGGGTTTTCTTGGCAAAGATACTGGAGTGGTTTGCCATTTCCTTCTCCAGCTCACTTTCCAGGTGAGGAAACTGAGGCAAACAGGGTTAAGTAACTTGCCCAGGGTCACACAGTTAGGAGTGTCAGAGGCAGAATTGAACTCAGGTTTTCCTGACTCCAGGCTTGGCGCTCTATCCACTGCACTACCAGCTGCCCAAATGGATGTTTATTCCCTTTCAAAACCATCATCTTAAAAAGGAAGAGCCTGGACTGAAGACCTTAAAATCCAACAAGGCCCATGGATCAACAGCTCTTCAACAGGAGGGAATCATGGCCCGAGTTCATCCCTCTGCCCCAGAGAAGCAGGGCCCTTCTTCTCATCCACTCTCATCTCCCTCTACCCTGATAGAGCCTATGATTACTTCATTTAAAAGACATCAGACCTTGTTATCTTTGCTTTGACTTTTTAAAGGACGTACAGGTGCCCAGTTTGAGGTCTTTACCATTGTGAAGCAGAGACAAATGCTCTGTACAGTAATAACCTTGAATGACAAATATTCTGAGAATGATAACCCTTCTCAGTATTAGATACACATTTTCTCACATTTAAGACATCCCAGCTCTTGATTCCAGGCATTGTCACGAGCGGTCTCCCTTGCCTGGAATTCTCTCCCATCCCCCCTAACTTCAGTAGCTAACTCTTTCAAGTTCCAGCTAAAATCCCACCCACTTCAAGAAGCCTTTCCAGATTCCACTTAATGCCTTGCCCCTGTTAATTATTTCCGCTTCATCCTATATGACTTCGTCAAGGGCACAGAGTTAACAGCTGATCTACCTAATACTTGAACCCAAGTTTTCTGGGTCCTAATTCCAGGGCTCATTCCATTGACTCTCTGTTAGCATCACAATTAATCAGTATAGCACTTTGAATTTGTTAAATGTATCTGTTTAATTGTCTGTTTTCTGTGATAAGAACGTGTCACTCTAATAACAAAACTGCCCCTATTTTGTATAAGTTAACACCTGTCCCCCTCTTTTTCAAAGTAAGGACCAGCTCCCAATGTCCCAAAGATAGAGATTTGAGGAGACATCAGATATAGTTCAGTACAGGCTAATGAATGGGTATTCCAAGGGTCAAAATACAGAAAAGGAATAGAAGAGACCTATGAGAAGAACTTCCCTGCTTAAAGTTACACGGGCCAAGTGAGTAGATGGTCTGGGCCTTGAACCCATTTCTCCTGACTCTAAATCTAGCTGTTTCCATCATACCACTCTGTCTCCTCTTCCTTTCTGCCTTTCTTTCTTGGCAGTTGAGGTTAAATGACTTGCCCAGGGTCACATACCTAGTAAGTGTCTGAAGTTGGATTTGAACTCAAGCACTCCTGATTCCAGGGGCCAGTGCTCTATTGTGCCACCTAATTGCCCCACTCTTGTCTCCTTTCAAGCTGAATATGTCCCCAACTGAACTGATTATCTTTTCCCATAAATCTGCTCCCCCTCCCAACTTTACCATTTTTTAATTACTCACACCACGTTCAAAACCTGAGTTTTTACTTTTATTCTTCCTTCTCCCTCAACATTTGTGCTGTTTGCCTCCAAGTTCTGCCTCCTCAACCCCCGACCATATTTCTTGTGTGCTTCCACTAGGGGGCAGTGTGGTATAGTATAAAGAGTTTGAGATTTAGTGTATGAGTGCTGGAGTTCAAAACCCAGCTCTGCCACTTATTACCAATACAATCATGGACAACTAAATGAAACTCTCTGGGCCTCAATATTCTCAGTTATAAAATGAGTAGATTGAATTATTGTTTGTCCTTTTAAGTAAGCCAGAGCTGCACAAAATTTTTAACCTCACTTTCTCTTCCAGAGTCATTTAAGTGTAGTGGCAAGACAGAAGTCAAGATGGCTGGTGATGGCCTGGGATGCAGTGGATGACCTTAGCATCTTTGATGTCTGACCAAGCTCTAAGCTTTCCACAACACCTGCTTCAGCCACCTTCATGGCTGTTGGAACAAATTATTCTCATCCACCCATTCTGCTTAGGGAAGTC